CTTTCTTTCTTTCTTTCTTTCTTTCTTTCTTTCTTTCTTTCTTTCTTCCTTCCTTCCTTCCTTCCTTCCTTCCTTCCTTCCTTCCTTCCTTCCTTCCTTCCTTCCTTTCTTTCTTTCTTTCTTTCTTTCTTTCTTTGGCATGCTTCATAGGCTTGCCTTGCTTCTGCTGAAATGCTCTAAATGTCTTGAGGTTTTCTTGTGGTTCTAACTTATTCCAGGGGTACAAATTGGTTGAAAAATGAAGGTTATTAAGTTATTGCCATTAAACTATGATGTCTACATTCAGTAGCAACGATAAGTTAATAACAAGTAAAGATCCCATGATGGACAAAATCATAACCATAGATTAGAAGAACTGCCAGAGGTTTTCAAATGCTCTTCAGATAAATGATAAAACAGGGTTTTGTTGATGTTTTATGTAGGTCTGGATTCATTGAAATGTATTCTTCACAGCAACTGAAATCTACTGTTGGAGGAAGATCTTAAAATTTAGCTGTTGTTTCAACAGTAAAGGCAAGCCAGAACTTAAATAATACAATTTCTGAAAGCACTTTAAGGCAAAATACTTTTTGCACACCTAAAAAAAACTCTTCCTGTACCTATAACACTAAATATTTTAGGGAGCCTTTTTCACAACTGCTTCCAATTTTGTACATAGGGTATTTTGTTTTGTTATTAAACAATTAGAGATTACCACCTGCTTGCAGTAATCCAATTGGAATCTGTGCAGAATACAAGAATATGAACAGGAGGAAACTGAATAACTGCAGAAATCTGGACAACAGTTTGTGTTGGGGGGTGGGGGGAGAGCGTAATATGTTAGTAAAATACAATTGCTAGCCCAAAACCAAGCCATATAGTTAGCAATGAGAGAAGCTAGGTGTTTATCAATAGCAGGTTGAAAGAATTAAACCAATGACCATACACATCGCTGCTGAAATCTAGGGTGCAACAATCAAGCCATTGGGCCACCTTTCCCAACTCGGAGCCTCCAGATGTGTTGGATTGACAATCCTACCATCATCAGTCATCATAGTTCAAATATGTCTTGAATGTACCAAGTTAAATAGCCTTCTTTACAGCATTTTTCTGACTATTATTAAAAACACAAGATTGGTCACAATCAAATTTATCCAGACAGTTTTTCTTTACTTCAAATTTCTGACCTTAACCCTGGAGAGAAAGAACATCTCTACTCAGGTATGAATTTCTTGCAGAGTCATAAGCAAGCTGTTATTTTACCATCAACTTTCTCACTGTACTGCTAAAAAGTAAATGCAAATATATTTCGAGAACCACATTAGGACAAATCAACATTTCCAAGATGTAGCTTTTGGTTTTCAATTATTTATTCTTCACTTTTTTGAATGCATTTAATTATTAGTATATTGGGCATATTAAGAAGCAAATTTTATTTAAAAAAATTAAAATATGCCACAGGAAGACAACAGACTTCACCTGGCAGAAATTGTGCGATTGATGCCTTGACAAATAGAGAAAGGACAACTTCTTTAGCAAGACTGAAAGGTGGTAATGATGGACTGATGATTTGTCATTCCAACCCTTTGGATTGTGAAACTATCATGGAGTAACAGGGTTATGACAGAACTACTGTGAACACTCATATGCTTTGATAACAGCTCTTACTGCTGTCCACATGGGAAAAAGTGATGCAACCAAGCACAGCTGCAAACTGGATCCTATTACGAAACTTTTTAAAGGAAACTATAAGTTTTGAAACAAAAGAACTTAATGGAAAAAGATATAAAGAAGAACTCTGAGATAGACATAATTGTTCTGTTGCTGTGCTGACTAAATCAGAAATAAAGAACAGGAGCTGATGAACCAATTTATGTTTTTGAGAAGGGCACTGTTCACAAAGACTGGAAAATATATCAAACAGATGTCAAGCTTCACAATCAAGAGGATTTCAAAATTAAATTTTGGTGGAGTGAGAAATTAAGAGAGGACCAGTGTTAAGAACTATAACACTGCTTCCTCTAACAGGAAAAGAATGCTACGGGAACATTAGCTGACAATTTTCAGCATCTTTAAACTAATGTACAGAGCAATCAAAAGGATGAGCTCAAGTTTCTAAAGAACTTGACATCATTTTAGAGGCAGACTTGTTAGGATGATACCCATGAACAGAATATAATAATTTAAATTATAGTAATTTAAATTTAATTTGTTTAAACAAAAAATAAAAAGGTTTGCTCCATATGTTAAATGGGCCCACACCTGTATATAAATAAAAAAACATTACAGTCTTCTAGAAAATATTTAGATGAAAGAAATGGAAAAAGAAATTTAAAACAGTACCATGGCTGGAATGTATTACTGACCACTTAGCACAGAGAAGATAAATGGATGTGTTCCATGAGTGAATTGTGACATTCCATGAAATTAGCAATAGCAATAGCGCTTATACTTATATACCGCTCCACAGCGCTTTACAGCCCTAAGCGGTTTACAGAGTTAGGATATTGCCCCCAACAATGTGGATCTTCATTTTACCGAAATTGGAAGGCTAGAAGGCTGAGTCAACCTTCAGCCAGTCAGAATTGACTGCTTGCTGTGGGCAGAGTTAGCCTGCAATACTGCATTCTAACCACTGTGCCAACAGGGCTCAAATGATGGTTACTGGGAATTTTAATTTCCTCAATGCTTATTTACTAATCAAATGTATAGGCCCCCTCAACCACAATTTATAGCTTAAACAGTTTAAATCAAATGAAAATAAACAAAACTCCCCAAACTCTAAATCCAAGAATCAGCTTAAGGTGGCAAGATAACCAAAATAAAAATAGCTGTTTAATGAAAGCACTAGGTGACAATGAGGTCAGTGGATCTGCTTAATTGCTAATTTGGATCATCTTCTTTCAGGAGAACAGATGAAAAACAGTGAGCACCTTGAAGTGGTAGAATTGC